GCTTTTCTGCAATCTGATTGGCTACGTGAGCGGTCCGTATGAGCCCGTACGGACCGCGCGAGATTTAAAGCCGTACAGCCAATGTATTTATTTTTCAAAATTTAAAGACGAGTTTAAAGGCTACTTTTTAAAATATTAAAATGTCTGCAGACGATGAAGAACACAGTGAAAGCGAACTTTACTATCTCACAAAAGATATTACTCTTCCCGGTATAGCATTGATAGAAACGACGTTATATTTGGCAGCTTCATTCGCGTGCGGGAGGAGTGATTGAGGAAATCCAGAGGAGGAATTAAAAAAAATAAAAATATTATTTACCGGTATGGTCGGTCCGTATAGAGAAATATTTCTCTCGGTCTTAAAAACGTCCCTCGGCCTTCGGCCTCGGGCCGTTTTTAAGACCTCGAGAAATATTTCTCTATACGCACCTCCAATCCGGTAAATAACATATATTTATTTTTTACATTTCAAATTTCTTAATTTTCTTCATTTCATAATTTCTAAATGCGACTTACGCACATGACTGCATAGTTTTTCCAACCTCGTTCCCAGGGCCTTTTTTAAAAATGCGTTTTTCATGTATATTATTAATAAGTAATAGTATAATAGTATATGGTTTCCCTTGCAATTTGATAACGGTTCAGAATTTGCGATTGTTCCGGTAACTCGTAAAAGGGCCAAACCATATGCATGGGGAAAAGGTGGCATATTGCACTTGTCATTCTTGTCATATCTTCGGAACGAGTTCGGTGACCCAAACCTTTTGATGTTTTTCCTATAAGCATTCGTAAACTTCACCCCTGGGGAGTTTTAGCAAATTCTCAATTCCAGACCAACCAGTACAAGCCTCTTTTCCATTCATTACAAGAGTCAGCACACAAGCTTGCTGCGAGTGCTTTCATCCAATCACAATACTCGACAGTTGGATGCAAGCACTCGCAGGCAGAGTTTGACTTTGTGATCAGTTGAAAAAGAGCCCTTAACCCTACTGTGGACAAAACACAAGGAAGTGATAAAGATCAGGGTTACACCGACGGATCGAAAGCTCACTAATAATTATGAAAGAGCAGGTTTTCCATAAAGTTACATGCAGCACAAGAAACCTATTTTTTCATTTTAGTACACCTCCGGAGTATCAATACAATAAAAGAGCATCAAACTATTTGCATTGGCAAAGAAGTTGCTATATTTAAAAATTAGTTGAAAAAATATCTTTTGGTTTATAGACTGAAACACAACAAACCAAAACTTTAATATTTTTAATCGGGGCGAAGGAAAACATTTTTGCAATTTTATTATTTTGCAATCACATCATATTCCATGCTTAATTAATATAATTATATTCCATGCTTAATAATTAATATAATTTATTTTATAATAATAATTAATATAATTTATTTTGCAATCACATCATATTCCATGCTTAATATAATACCTGAACATTTGTCCAAATTTCGAATTGGAATGTATAATCAACATTTTTGACCACATTTGTTTTAAAAACATGAACGAAAAGATAACTTTGTTTGTTTCATGGACATTTACTTATTAAGGGCACTTATTTTTAGCAAGTTTATACATGCCCATATCATTATGAACTTAAGTTAATGAAACAAGCGTTAGGACAAGAGTAAAGTTGTGCAAAGTCTCCTGGAATACAAAGGTCTGGTGCAAAGGTCGATCTGTGAATCGTGTGATCATACACGTGCAAAGCGCAAGGCTGAATTAACAACAAACCATTGTCAAATCTCTTCCCATGCGTGCGGGAAAATAGACCAACCAGGTTTCACCTCTTCGTCTACACAGTTTCCTGCTTGGATCAGTAAGCCTCATCGTGTCACTTGCAAGCAAAATTGTATGACCTCTGCGGCAAAGTACTTCGAAATTACCACCCATCCCACCCTTAAAGGATTTTGCACCACTATATCATAACTCGTGCATGTTCAATCACAACACTGTGGATAAAAACACCTGAATTGCATTTTGATCCTGCTATTTTAAAATATTGAACAAGCTATTTTTCTGAGATTAAAAGTCACTAATTCGAGAATTATATTATGTCAAGTTCCACTAATCATAATTCAAATAAAATAAGTGGGGTTAATAAATACATGTTGCAAAATTGTTAACGAACATATTGACATTAAAAATAAATAAATCGTAAGGAAAACAAAAAAAAACCCCAAAAAACAAAAATGATGGTGAGCTTTGTTTGTCGTGTTACCAACCCTCCAATCAAGCACTTGTAAGATAGAAGCTTTGTGGGGCCCAGGTTTCCTGTAAAGATATTGTAGGTTTTTCCTGGCCTCCCTGATGTTCCAGCTGTAGTATAATATGAGTGATGGTAATGCTCAAATATATGTCTTACGATCAACTTGTAGTTTAAAAAAAATATATATATTTGTACATAACATGATTTTAATCAATTAATTATTTAAAGTGTGTCGAAAGAGAAATATAGACGATATGTCTTCGAAAAGCACAAAGATCATATGTCAGAAGCTGTATTCTATACGATTACAGTTGTGGTGGGAGTTGGGTTTTTTCGTCTATGAGGAATACACATGATGTGTATTTGTGGGGATGGAGTGCTTCCAAAGGTCACCCTCAACCCCATAGACTCACACAAATCAATGTATTATACAGTGTATTGTAAAGTAAACAATGACCATCACGGGGATCTACTATACCCCTTGGACATTAAAGTAAACAATGACCATCACGGGGATCTACTACCCCTTGGACATTAAAGTAAACAATGACCATCACGGGGATCTACTACCCCTTGGACATTAAAGTAAACAATGATCATCACGGGGATCTACTACCCCTTGGACATTTAGGATGCCCATCTCGGGGATCTACTACCCCTTGGGTAAAGTCCAACATGGGCGAACCACGACCCCCTGAGGACATATAATTATATCATAATCATATTGCGGTAATAGTGAGTCTGTGGGGCGACACTTTGGCCACAGTTTAAAGTATAATCGGAGCATTTCTCCTCGACAACCCTTCTCCCACAACATTGTGTGTGTCATAGTTGTTTTCTTAATTGTCTTAGAATATTTGCTTAACGAATTGGTGCATTAATTGCAGGTTATTTTCTGAACAACATTTTTCATGAAGACAAAGGGCACTTTGCCACCGGAGAGAAGGCACTTTTTGTGTCTTCTGAAACCTTGGAGGGGGGGGGGGGCAAGACCCCCTTGGTCCCCCGGTTCCTGATAATGAATTAAATATACAGATAATACACAATATAATATTATACTTTCTTCATGTGAAACTACAAAGAACTTATTGAATAAAAATACCTTTATTTTGTTCAAGTGGTCTTTTACTTTCTGTTGAAATACCAATACAAAGAAATCTACAGTAAGATTATGGAAAGTTAATGTGGCATATGTCAGTTCGAGAACTATTAAGAGGCAATTTTTTTCAATGTCACGTATTTGCAATGAAAAGTGTTCAAAACCTAAAATCTTTTTGACGTTCCTCTCAAAATTACTTTGTTTTAGCTTTATTCTCTAGTTCATAGAGTTAGCTGACTTTTTAAATGCATCTACCGGTTGAGAAACATAAAATAATAGTTAAAAATTGCCAATTAAAATACAATTATCAATGATGCTTTAAAATTGACGCCATATTTACAGCCAAATAAGCAAAACTTACTGAACTTCAGACATCATTTTCTCTTTGGCGTATCATCTAAAATCTCTTCATTTTAGCGTTATTTTACAGATAAAGCACTAAACATACCTTTTAAGTTTGTTTGCCGATTGAGAAACGTATCGAAAAATAAAAATTTTGAATTTAGTCATAACCTCAAGTGATATATTATACGCATTAGTTTTGAGCGTGTGTTACGTAACATACAAAAAAATCTCCTCTTAAGATATGACAAACCGGTAATAGAGTTTAATACATAATGTTAAGATTTCTTTTGAATGGTGTTATGTAATTAGACATTCTCACGAACTGGACAGGATGTGGGTTTTGGACATAGTTGTGCATGTTTGGATGTTTTTCACTAGTGTTGTTCTAGTTTACCTAGTTTACTTAAAGTTTAGATTGTTATAATAATTAACAAACTATACAAACTGCTTCAACTGGGACTTAACATTGGCGACGAGGTATAAACTGAATCCGAAGTCAGAAAGATACGTTTATTTTGCTAAAAACAGGCGAGGAATCGGAGATGGCCGAAGAGACAAAACCAACGACGGTATGCGCTATTACAAAGACAAGAAATTTAAGTTCACCGCCATTTACCGCCCCAGAAGAACCGTGTGCTACGGGGAACGCTTGGGAAGAATGGCTGGAGGGCATTGAACGCGAGTTTAGATATTTTAAAATCACCGACCCCGTAGATAAAAAAGTGCACTCATCATTTACGGCGGTAAACAAGTAGCTAAATTAGAAAAGAGCTTGCCCAACCCGGAATCGGGTAATCCATATTAGAAACTGCGAACAAAATTAAAAAATCATTACTTTCCTAAAAAGGACAAACATTATGCCAATTTCTGAAGCTAAGACCAAATCCAGGAGAATCAACGAGCAATTATGCAGCGAGACTTCGAGAAAAAGCGACTGATTGCGAATTCGGCGACACGCACGACGACAAGATCTCCACGTGGAGCATATCATTCAGACATCAAAAATCATCAGAGAACAAAACATTAACACAAAAATCCATCAACAAAGCCTGGGATTTAACGCAATTCATTATCGTAGCAGCCCAAATGGAAAATATAAAACGACAAGTCTCTGATATAACGTCCCAGGAAGCGGAAGTGAAAGCTAGAGTTAATCGAGAGGCACAGAGAGGCCAAAATGAGACAAAAGAGATTAATAGAATACAATCACCGGGGAAACAATACCAACCCCGATTTTCCAGAAACCGCACAAAACAGGAGAGACGAAAAAGAAGCAGCACGACGCCACATCAATGTCAATATTGTGGGTACAATCATCGAAAAGGAGACAACTGCCCAGCCTTTGGAAAGAGATGTAGGAAATGCAATAAAGAAAATAATTTTTCCTCAGTATGCAGATCAGCAGGCAACCCGAGAGTTGATTCCCGCACTGGACAAAACCACCAAAGCGGGCAGATCAAACGGACCACTGAATAAGATTCATCAATCAGTTCAGACGATGACTACTTTGTACAAGCGGTTATAAACAGCTTTCAAGCCAAGAAAATTGCAGGAACACAAAAACGTAAACAAACTGTGACTGTAAGATTAAACGATGTCGATATTCGAATGGAACCAGACAGTGGAGCCGAGGTTAACCTGATGGATGAGCATCAATTCCAAGCATTATTACACCGAACTAATGAAAAACCAACATTAGAACAGTGCCAGATAAAACTCAACACACTGCAACATCCTCTCCATGTAAAAGGGAAGTTTGAAACCATCATCCGCAATCAAACCTGTGGAAAGCCCGCAACATTTATTGCCGTGAAAGGGAGGATAAATTCATCACCACTCCTCAGTAAAGATACACTGATAGAATTAGGAATGCTGAAACTACAATCGGATGGAGGATTGACAAGCCCGAATGCAATGCGAATAGAGAATGACAAGCCAAAGACCGCGAAATCAACCACAAATCAGCCTGAACAGCAGGAGATGGATAAGATAATTGCCAAGTACGACCATCTATTTCAAGGAATCGGCAAAATCACAGATAAGAAGAACAACAGAGAAATATATGGACAATTCCACATGCAACCAGAGGCCATACCAATAACGCAGAAACCTCGCCCTGTACCGTACCACCTACAAAAGTCACTGAAGGAATGGTTGCAACAAGGAGTGGAAGAGGACATATTTGAACAGGTCCCTGACGATGAACCAGTGACGTGGTGCTCCCCACTGGTGATACAACCCAAACCGAGATTCGCAAAGACTCCAACGGAGGAATTGGGCACACATATGATCCGAGCAAGTGTCGACCTCCGAGTTCCCAACTGAATACATGGAACAAAGCCGAGTATCCCAAACACCCATTGTTGAAGATTTCATCCACAGATTTCATGACTGCAGCATTTGGACCAAGATGGACCTCCCGTAAAGGTTACCATCAACCTGCCCTCGATCCAGGGTCACGAGCTGTCGCCACTTTTCCTACCCCATGGGGGAATTATCGCCCGAAACGACCAGAATTTGGAGCCAAAACATCACAAGATGCATTCGATGAAACAATGCAACGAATCTTCGGAGACATCCCCAGATGCTTCACCAGAGAGACAAAATAGCAGTAAACGAGTTCCATTTACGTAAGGGAAATTTGTGGTAGAGAAAATATGTATTCCTGTTCTATTAGTACAAATATAGGCTAGGGTAGATTATTGGTACTGTATAGATGTTTGGGATCGGTTATTGACTTTTGGATTGGTTATTGTCATGTTGAACGCGTTATGTGTGTGTTAGTTGAATCGCAAATTGAGAGTTGAGAATCGTGTTGGGTAATTGTAACTTACATCATTGTAAAACGACGTGCGCCAAACAAGTGTAAATATCTGTACTTAATAAATATATTTAAAACAAAACCAGTCCCATGTGTGAAGTGTCTTGAATCGTGAGCCAGCAACCATCGTGACTTAAATCGCACTAAGTTACGCGGCAGTGGTAATAGACAAACGACCTCGTTACCCAGAAATCGAAGTCACCTACTCAACCTCATTTAAACCAACCCAAGCAAACCTAAAACGAATTTTTGCGCACCATGGAACCCCACAACGCGTAGATTCAGACAACGGACCTCCTTTCAATTCAGAGGAATTTGCTCAGCGAAAGACCGATCATAGAGAGAATGAAGGAAATTGACAAGCGGGACAAAGAGTACAAGAAACGAATGGCACACCAGAAAAGAAATGTAAAGAAACACAAGTTCGCATTGAAGGACTATGTGCTGGTGAAGCAGAAGAAGACTAATAAATGGACAACAGCATTCGAGCCAGCTTTTTACACCATCACAAAAATTCAAGGATCGTCAATCACTATCAGACGGATTAAGGACGGAAGAGAAGTACTGTGTCGTGACGCGAGTCAACTAAAACCCAGCAAACTCCCTAGTGGGAACGGAGGAATATCCATTGCAGCTTAAGAACGATAAAGAAGAGGAGGAATCTACTTGGGATCGTGAAACAGACGAAGAAACGGCAGATGGTGAGGTCGAGCAAGTTAGACCAGCAGAAAACGAAGGAATCGATCGACCAAGAAGAGAAAGACAACAGCCGGCGCGACTGCATGAGAGACTACTGTATATCCTTTCATAACGCAGAAAACAAGAGAAACAAAATAGACTTCTAAGTTATGAGAACCATTAAAACGCAATATAATTATCACAGTAACTCTTATAACAGGAAATCTTAAATCTCTTAAGAAAGGGAGATGTTATGTAAATAGACATTAGTCGCCAGACTTCTCACGAACTAGACAGGAACCCATGTGGGTTTGGACATAGTTGTGTTTGGATGTTTTTCACTAGTGTTGTTCTAGTTTACCTAGTTTACTTAAAGTTTAGATTGTTATATAATAATTAATAACGCATACAGACTGCTTCAACTGGGACTTAACGTATGGGACAAACTACTTTTTATTGCCAGAGTATCCTTTAAGTACTCTGATGATCACACATCCTAACATTTCATCAGGCCTTAAAGGGGAAGTCAAGTCTGTAATGTAAACAAATGGTTTGTTTACATTTTGAACTGCTGTATTTTTTAAAATATGATGTACTGTCTGAATATCTGACACCACTTTGGTTCGCTATATGCTTCTAAATGAATATGAAATAGAGTTTATGTTCAGAAAAATGCGAAACATTCGAAATTTGGACAATGTTCACATTAGAGGTCCTCACATTGTTATGAGCAGAACCGATGCGCAGAACGGACTTGACTTCCCCTTTAAATCCAGGTTGGAATCCGTAGCTGTTAAACTGGATATCTATGGCATAAAATGTTCTTGATTTTTTACGCTGGTGGCATAGATATTGTGAATACTAGAATATTGAAGTTTTTGAAATAAGTTAAGGAACTTAATGGTTTTTGCAGGTCCAGGCCGGTCAATAAGGGCCACAGTCACGCAATTAAGGCCATGTTCCACGGTGCAATTTTTCTTGCAACTTGCAATGCAATTCTATACTCTTGACTAGAGATGTAAAATTGCCAAATACGAGTCTTTATTACACTTCGCTGATGTTTTCTCGACATATTGAAAATTCTTCACTGATTTCACTAATTAGCATCTCTCAAGAGTGGAATTGCATTCATTGCAAGTTGCAAGAAAAATTGCACCATGTAAAATAGCCTTTACATGAAGAGCCAAGTCAGTATTGTACAGTATGAGTCAAATCCATGAACCGCGATCATCCCCTTGGGGAACCCCAGGGCATTTGACTTAAGATTAGCTCCGTATTGGCAGGAATTTGACAGAAACAAATTTATTCCCAGTGTTTCCACTCTCAAAAAAAAATTCCTTCTTATTAAATTGCTCAAAATTTCCCTATTTTTGACAAAATTTCATTGCACTAAAGTTGATAAATTTTACCTAATTTAAAACTAAGATTACCAGCCGTCGAAAACAAGGTCGGCATTTGGCAATGCCGACATAAATGCTGACCTATCAACTTCCAAGGTCGGCAAACTTTTGCTGACCTAATTCAGCCAAAGTAAGAATTTTTTTGGTGCTGATAGCTGTTACTGTCGTTCCAATTGAAGTGTTCCTCAAATATTGATTCAATACATTACCTCGGGCTGACCAATTCATTTGATCAAGTTCCTCGAAATATTCATACACTTCCTAGTATAATTGTAAACTTCCTGTTGAATAGTTTGAATACACCAATCACCTTTGTTGTTTGTGCAACTAACCAATCATAAATAGAAAGGAAGTGACCAGAAATGATCAAATTCTTGGAATTGGCTCTTTCACAGGAAGTGTATGAATATCTCGAGGAACTTGATGAAATGAATTTGTCAGCCTGAGGTAATGTGTCTAATGTATTGAATCAATATTTGAGGAACACTTCAATTGGAACGACAGTAAAAAGTCAGCGATTATAGAATTTGATTTGTAGTTCGATTAACTAAACACACTATGGTGTAAGGTCTAAAAATTGATGGGTATTTTATATATAATTTTAAAGTAAGACTCCAAAAGAAAAGCCACCATGTTAATGTAGTTTGTGTTTCCGAAAAAACCCAGCATGCTTTATATTCCGATTTCAATGGTTCGTAGATATGTGATTACTGATTGCTCCAAGACATGGAAACAGATTTTAAAAAAATGTCGAGATGTGCCGACCTATAGGTCAGATTTAGGTTGGCATGTTTTTGCCCTCAGAAATTCTTCAGATTTTCCATTGAACCCCAGGACAGGATTCTCCACATTTTCTGATGCGAATTTGCCTGGAAATTGCTGTAATCTTACAATTTATTAGAAATAAAGTAATTTCTTATTTCCTTCCTGACAACAAAATTCCTTGCCATTTCCTTGTAACTTTTATTTCCTTGCAAAGACCAAAATTTCCTTTTGCAAGGAAAATTGAGCAGTCACGTTTTATTCCACCCCATCGGGCATAAATTTAACCACTTGACAACAAATTGCTCAACAGTTGTCCCTAAAAACATGTGTATACTCTAGCACTTTGGGAGTTTTCTACTTTTCATTTTTTCGATTATCATAGTTTAAAAATTGCTTCTGAACCACACATATCAATATCAATAACAAAGAGAAGAACTGAATGGCCTATTTTTCATTCTTTTTAATCTTGCGTTTGAGGTTTTATATATTATATAGTGAACAAATATGTCTTTGATATTTGTATTAAAGATGCTGTAAAGTCCGTTCTGCACATATATTCTGCGCATCAACACATTCCATCAGTGGGGGAGCAACCTTTGGAATGTTGTTAATATTTCGCACCTTCCAAACTTTCTTGAATTGAATCTCTAGTCTGCATTCATTTACAAGCATAGCGAACTGTAAGAGTGTTAAAAATTCAGTATAATATATATTTAATCATATTTTACAACTGTAGCACTGAGTTCAAAATGTAAACAAAGCGTTTGTTTACATTACGGACTTTACATCACCTTTAAATATAAACATTTGTAGACTTTTAGAATGTTTGCAGAATTGCCTTGCAGAATTGCCACACACCACAATTGAATGTGGTTTCAGCTTGTTCGGACATGCACTTGACAACTTATTTTTTTCAAAATTAGTCAAATTCCGTGGGTGTTGCTGGGGGGAAGGTGATCGCGATTGAATTTGACCATACATAACGGGGCTAAGGACCACATTTATATGAGCAAGAATTGCAATTAAGTGGTGTAGTTGAGTTGTCATAGTTCACCTCTCGCCACTTTCAATTGGTAAGACCAGCGGATCTTTTCCCGTTTTAATTCAGGGTCTTTGGAACAAAGTTACGTCACTGATCTTTAAACTATAGTTATTGCTGTATAGCCTAAAATATTATATAAAATATAATATTTTACTAATTTTAGCTAATAAATACATTGCACAGTAAAAACTTTACCTAGTTTTTGGCAAGAAACTGGTATTGTGAATACAACCACATTTTGAGAAGAGTGCCAAATTGAATAAAGAGCATTTCAGTTTCAACATTCTCCAAACCATTCTGCCTCTCCTTTGATATATTAAATGGATAAAGTAATTTTTATCAGAGCATTTTTAATACTTTTAGATAAATTGTGTGGTGACATCTGGTAACATCGAGCATGAAGTACTAACATAGAATAATGAAGGATGACCGTGGGCACATAAACATATGCGCACCGTGTTTGCGCATCATGAAAAATAAAAAATTCTTTATTTCTTTTGCAATTTTCAAGCTTTGGGAGGGCGAATTGAGATGGCGGAAGGAGAACTCAATGTCGATAGTGTTATTTCCAGACTTCTAGACGGTAAAAATAAACTATTTCTCATTATTAGATTCGTCTCATACTCTCCCCTAACGCATTATCGTTCATTTTAGCTCGAGGAAGGCCCGGCAAAAGTGTTCAGTTGACCGAAGCTGAGGTTCGTGGTTTGTGTCTCAAGTCAAGAGAAATATTTTTAAGCCAGCCGATTCTGTTAGAACTCGAAGCCCCTCTGAAAATATGTGGTGAGTAGCGTTTTCAAAAATAGAAAGGGATGTACGTGTTATGTTCAAATGTTTCATTTACTTGTAGTTAGGTTCGTTTTTTAATAGTACTTTTTTAAACGATAGAAAGGCGGCATGTCGAAGGTGTCTGAGCAAGGCGCAATATTGTTTATAGAGTCAAATTTCTTTATCTTGCCACTCATGTAAATGTATTTAGTATCATAATTTTTAAAGTGCCTCTTCAGCTTGACATTTTGAAAGTTCTGGTATGTTTGGGCTCATATTTTCTCATTTGAATTGTGATACAATACAAGTTGCCAAGTTTTTCTGTGGGAATTGTTCGTATTTATATGTCGAAAGGTATATGAAGGGGAGAAAAGAATAGATGGATGATTCCTACTATTTAGGCCCTGTTTACACTATACCGGATTCGCTGGTCACGACATCTTTTGCCGTTACGGAGCAATGGTTAGTAGCAAATGCTTATTAGTTTGACAGAATTGGCATGTTTATTTGGGTCTCTGAGATTAAAAATCTTCACAGCCTTTCGATACCTACAAAATTTGACCCACTCCGATAGCAATCCGGTATAGTGTAAACGGGGCCTTAATAAGTATATGTTATTTACTGTCTGAGAGTTTTCCCGAGATTTCAGAAACAGTCTGAGGGCACTATCCTCCGAAGAGCTCTGTATAACACAAAAGCTAGCTATACCACAGAGGAGAGATATACAGGGAGGAAACTCAAACTGGATAACCTCAATTTTTGTGTCACACGTTCCAGACGCCACGCAAAATTTCTCAGTCAGTGCCGTCGCTGAAATGGGTCGTTCCAGAGAAGATCCATACTCCCCCACAGAGGAAATTTCTGCCGTCTGGAGGGGGAGTGGAGAAAAAATTGTTTCTGATAGTAGTAAATGTATTAGGACATCCGAAGGGGTTAGGGGAGTTAACTTCCTATTTCCTCTGTGGGGGTGGTATGGATGTTTTCTGGAATGACCCAATTTCATAGCAAAAGATAGGGAAAATGCCGTTCGAAAGGTGAAAATCGTTTCTTTTTAAAAATGAGATACCCATGGAAATTTTGTTCAATAAGTTCATATGGTAGAAATATAGAAACAGTATCCTTATCCCGAGCTGACAGTGTGAAGCGCCATGCAAGGGCACTAAATCAGCAGGGCTAATTATACCCGGGTATGTGAAAACATATGCGAAGTGCAAAGTTGTCCTCCATGTGCAAGTACAAGCTCTGTCTATAAAAAATAAATTGTTTTTCATTTTGAAAGGACATATTTTGCTGTTTTACAGCAATTTTTTATTTCAAGCCATTCTTCACTCGATAATTCACTTTAATGCAAGCTGGTATGCATGAAATTGCAGTGAATGTTATCGTTCATTATAAAGCTAGCACATGCATCAGTTGTGTATTTATGTTTAGGAATTTCAGATGCTCGTGTATAAATAACAAAGCAGCAAATGATATAAATTTCTCAAAATATAACTCTTGCATAAAATAAACATGAATACTTCTATAATATGTATAGTTGTATTCCTCTGCATTAGGCATAAAAATAAATACCAGACTGTGGTTCCGGTTTCCGACCGACCCTACTTTTTTTCTGCTGACCCAATTATTTTTTCAACGCGATTGACTGTGCAATCCTATTTTCTCCAGGTGGTTGCGGGCTGCTCATATAGGTTGCCAAAATGGCGTCTGTTGCCACACTAATTATTGAACCAACTTAGAACATTCTGGTATAGGCGCTATATAAATGTTAGTATTATTATTATTATTATTATTATTATTATTATTAAATTGCAAGGAAATAGGCATCTCTAGTTAATATTGATGTCGGGATTCTACTGCAAATCGCCCAGCAAAAAACTGCCAAAACCATGAAAAAAATATTAAAAAAAAAATTTATTTCCGACCTACTGACCCTAATTTTTTCACGATATGAAACCGGAACCACAGGTATTTTTTTTTATGCCTTATCAAAATTTAATAAAATAGGGAATTAATATAATTTTCTATAGTTAACTTAATAGACTTAATATATCGGCATGACATAATTTGCCGCGAGTTTCCTCTCTGTATATCTCTTCTCTGTGGCTATACCGAGTAAAGCATAAGTGTAAGGCATTCAGGTAATTGGTGAACATGCACGGTGGAGAAAAGGAAGAATGATAAAAAGGCTCTGCCAAATTATGTGTTCATATTATGTGTATGGCGTCAATTTATAAATTCTGTGAGGGCATAAAATTACTAATTCGTCGAAATTAAAGTCCTTGTGCAGGAATAAATAGTGTTTTTTCCAACGTATTTCTCCTTAGATGCAAACAACGGTAGCTTGGTTTTGTACATTTCATTTCCGGTGAATGAACACTGAAAATGCACCCGATGGGGCGATGGCACTTTGTTTTGTATATTTCATTTCATGTGAATGAACACGGATGCACACCGATTACACTTTGTATTGTACATTTCATTTCAGTGAATACACATCCAATATGAATGAAACACGATACATTGTGAGAAAATAGTTAATGGGGAAAAGTAAATAAAACGTTCTTTGATATAATAATATAAAATCAAACGCAATGCACTTTCTCATCAAAAAAATGAAAATCTTCCAGTGGACCCAGTTTGGAAAGCCCCTTAGCTACTTCAAATGGGAAGAGTCCGTCAAACGGACAGTATATGGGCTAGATAACACCCTGAAAATAGCTGTGAAAAAAAAACACATGAAAAGATACAAGAATACCAAAAACACAGTAAAAGGCAACAAATACTCTGGGCTTGAAGGTGATTGGCAAGAAATTGCTTATGATCGACAGAAAGCAGGGTTTCCAAGTTCCTGAAAAGCAGGGAAAGTCATGATCGACTGCCGATCGCCATGATCAGGAACTTTGGGAACATTATTTCAAGCCCTAACAACTGAACATAATTAATTTAGAAAGTACCTTCAATGCTTCTGATAAAAATTGCCAGGCAATAGTTAGCAAAATTCCACAATTTTTTCTGCTAAGTTTGATTTGCATCATTTATATTTAAGACAAACATTTGCCCCCAGCACGGATTTTCCGTTGGTGGTGCTCAAGGTAAAACGTTTTGTAAATTAAGTTGACCATGTAATCTATTTTTTAGTTCTCTATTTCACTCTATTAGTGCTTTTCAGTTATTAGGGAGCTTTAGCAGCGACTACAAGTACGAGATTTGATCGCGTGCGAGGAAATCACTTAATCACCGTAGTTGTTCTCGTTTCCATTCAAATGTTGCTTTTATAGTAATAGACCCCTAAAAATATGCAAATAAGTCATAACATTAAAAACAAGTCAGATATTGAATATTATATAATACCTTATTGAATTCTGATAGTTTAATTGGCTGTTTATGGTCACGTGATATTGAATAGAAAATTCCATTTCCCAAGAGTACAATGGAACACGTTCCATTGCACTCTTTGCGAGTGCAATTGTACTATTTGTTTTATTCCATTGTTCTCTTTGTGTTTTCGATAAATCGCATGCGTCAAAATGCTTCTCATACGAATCTATTAGTCTATTTTGGTATTATATAAAACAAATAATGAATGTTTATTCGTGCAATGGTAAGAATATTTTCATTCGTCGAGAGATGGAATGTTCGATTTAACTCGGCTGTCGCCTCGTTGAATGGAACATTCCATCTTTCACCTCATGAAAATATTCTTACCATTGCACGAATAAACATTCATCGTTTGTATACTAATAGATTATTTGCGCCGGATAAACGCAACAAATTATTTTTGTAAGACAAAAAAAAGTCTACTTTCTTTTGAAAAGTTGTGGTGAGGACTACGAGATTTCTCCACAATTTCGTACTCAGATGGGCGACGGCTACGACTTTTTCGCGTCATTACGGGATGGCGTAAGCATACAGTATCAAGTATGCGTTTCGCTTGACGAATCTCGTACCCATTATTATTATTATTATTATTATTATTCAATGAAGTATTCCCGGAGAGGGTTTTTCAATACCTATTTACAGAACGAATTGAAATATTAAAATTAAAATTCCTATTTATAGCGTTTATTTAAAATCTATTTGGCTATGAGATACGAAGTATAATTACATATTTATCGTTTATTTAAAACCATTAAATCTATAATATCAGAAAAAGCAATTAATTGTTGTTTAGCATCTTCTTCTTTAATTCAGTTTTAAAACTTTTCCAAGGTAACTTTTTAAGGTCTTCATCCAAGTCATTCCATAACTTCGCCGCTCTGTAATAAAAGGTTCTTTGTCCTGAAACTGTTTTGTGTTGAGGGATGTGTAGCGCTTTATTATTCCTTGTATTTAGATCGTGAATTTCATTTCTTTTTATAAATAATTTGGACAGGTATAAAGGTGGTGCTAATCCGTTCATACATTTGTATGTTACTCGTAGACCATAGTTGCTGTTAAAGCTCCCTATTACTGCTGATTTTAAAACATCTATAACTGTGAATGTATACACTACAGACTGTAATTCAGTGTGGACTATTTTGGATACACTTATATAATGTGGACCATTCAATGTGGACTATTTTTGGATACAATGTATTAGTGCCTGTTTATTACATCATTATATTAATAACTTATTAGTTTACAACTTTGTAAGACCTGTGGTTCCGGTTTCCCCACCGACCTATTTTTTTCTGCCTAACCTATTATTTTTTTCAACGCGATTGACCGTGCAAGCCTATTTTCTCCGGCTGGTTGAGTGTCTGTAGTGTCGTCACGATAATTATTGAACTAAAATACCAAATTGCCTAAATTTACTTAACTCTTTAAGTGGCAATGCACCCTGATGCCCCCTACTTTAGTATTTTACTCTGTCTAACGCCAGACAATTTTAGTTGTCAAGTGGTCGCCACTCAATGGGTTAATATTGATGTTACATCACCCCATATAAATACACATATACTGCATGTACATGCATTAATTATGAAATCATCTGTTTCTTTTGGGTAAAATTAACAATGAGAATAACAAGGTAACAAGCAAAATGACAGCAAAAAATCCCAGGAGGGTGGATTTGTCAATCTGAAATTTTGATAATTGTAAATTTTATACATTCATTACAGTAGACAGTGTAGACCTAACCTGCAGCAGTTGCAAAAAATGCAACTACAGCCCCTCTGGCATGAATTGATCTGGGGCCATGTGATTCCAGTGCGGCTCTAACCAGCTTTCGGTTTAGTTAGAGCTCGACAACTGGACTCTGTAGCTCGGTTGGTTAGCGCTTACAATTCTTATTCTGGCATATGTAATAGAATAAGCATGTCCTAGAAATTGCATAATTAACATTCAGACAAATGTGATGACATTTATCCGGAGTATTTTTTAACGTTAATTTAGAGTCAGGGATGTGATAATTTGTGTACTCGATATGCTACATCTTTCTTTCCAGTCAAGTACCACTTAGGGTTCTTGTGTTCAAGAGTATCGCTCTGGTTAACTTTTTACATACCTTTTCCTGCCTATTTATTTATTTATTTATTTATTTATATAACTTCGCCATTTAATACATTTCCACAAAATGACATGTAAACAATACAATACAATACAATACAATACAATACAATACAATACAATACAAAAACAATACAATATAACCCAAGACAGTACAGTATAGTTCAGTACAGTACGCTACATACAAATAATACAATATTGTGCAACAGATGGCTGGGACACCACAACAGTTACTGTGAGCCCTTTTAACATATAGTAACTAGAAACAACAATTTATAACACTGTTCAAACTGCGACAAGAGTTACAGTTTGAAAACACATATTTCCACGTTTTTTGATCCTCTGCATCATAACAACTATGTAGGACTTCCAAATAATAGTTCCGCAGCAATCTTCTAAATGTACTTAATAACATATTTGGCCGTCTTAAGTTTGTTGGAAGACAGTTCCAAACTCTTCTGGCTCGGGTAAAATAAGATTTTTGGAAGGTGATAGTCCTGGTACTGGATGATCGGGTTACTCGGGTACGAATAATAGGTTGAGGGAGAACATCTAGATACGTCGATCATAGTGAAGATTTTTAATCCAAAAATCTTTTTCACTCTAGAAACCCCTATATTTTAGCATCTGGATATAATTATAGAGCTATACTCCCAATTCATCATAACAATCCTGCACAACATGATGGATTCATTTGTATATACTAATCTTGTCACTATATAATAGGCGATTAATCAGTTTTACATCGCGCACTTTTACTGCGCAGATTTAATAACAAATTCTATCTAATGTATGTAGTTGAACTGCAATGTAGAGTGATAAAGAAAGAGTAAGGGCAAAGAGAAAAACACTCTGTATTGATCAGGCGTTCTTCAGGAAATAAAAAATGACACAACTCTAGCTAGGGCTCCCTGTGCAACATGTTGCATGTTTAACCCTTGTATTTCTTTAAGAAGATCTGTGACCCTACTTTTTATTTTATATTTTTGTTCTTCTATACGTTTTACATCCAGGGCCTCCCTATAGTAGAAAAAAACTATATTTACGATTTTTACAATAAAAAAATCATGTATACGGCCCTATTTACATAATTTCTACAACATATAATATTTTACCTTTTTCGTGCATGCTTCAATAACATGTCTGAGATGATGGGAAAAGTCATCTTTGCACCACAACAATCCACGTCAATAGTTTTTGATTTGCTAGTAAAGACACCATGTTTTCTTGTATATAATCAACAGATAGACATTAGTAGGATCTTATTGAAAACATCAATAACGATTGAGCAATTGCGATTGTTCCTGTAACTCGTAAAAGGGTCAAGATGGCGCCATATGGGGGAAAAGAGGAGGCATATTACATTTGTCATATCTTAGAAACGAGTTCGGTGACCCCAACTTTTTTTCTGTTTTTACTATATATGAGCATATCATAAACTTCGCCAATTAGGAAGTTTCAGCAAATTCTCATTTCCAGAACAATCACTGATGTATCACCTTAAGTTTTCCCGATGTTTGTATAGGTAATAGCATGGTTTCGAGTGCAATTTGGATATAACATGCACGACATGGCTTGAATTTTATCGCGGCAATTGCCGTAGAGGGGGCACAAAATGCCGTGAATCATTGCGGCAACGACGGCAATTTCTTGCCCTATATAGCATAATTTTTATACCATTCACTGTGCATTACTATTTTGATACTACAATTCAGATGTTGATCAAATCATGCGTAAACTATTTTAGTCTCAGTTTTCTTCGAGAAAAATCCACTAAAGAGATACGTAAACATGTTTCTAGCTTGTCAGCAATCCAAAGTAACAATAAAGTTAAATTTTTATTACAGTAATTTGAAAAAATGCCGTGGAAACTGCCAAAATTGCCGTGGACACTTGTTGTGTTCTACGGCAATTTTTCAGGGAAATTCGAGGCCTGATGCACGAGTGAGTTTTTCAAAGACCTCAAAAAGTTTGAGTTTTTCAAAGACCTGTTTGGGATTAACTGCACTGAAATCAACCAATCACAGTCGAGTAATATTTTTATGTATATTATTATTAAAGTACCGTTATAACATGTTTAGTCAAATGTGAACTAAACATTGTCATTCCACATGCATGTGAACTGCGCATGCACGAGGAAGGTCGCGATCTATAACCTCAAGTAAAACAATAATTTCCTTGATTCTCGTGCATCACTACATTTTGAAAATGTCGAAGGGGCGGGAGGTTTATATTTTATATAATTTACTTATTTATCAGTAAATAAAAATAATTCTTAATATTTAATATTTCTGTGATTTCCGAAGTGAAGGGCGACTGTCATAAACCGAAATAAACATAACTCTGACACAGTTTTGTCATCTCCAACGTATCTTCAAGGAACAATAACTTAAAACGCAATGAAATTTAAAATGCAATGAACTTTCTTGCACTTGCAGGCAGTTTAAAATTACACTAATATACCGTTCCTCTACATCAATGGCTTACATCACCATAGATAAGTAGAAGGGAGTTGCCCTGCTTGAGCGGTCTTCCAACAGACACAATACAGTAACAAGTAAAATGTTCTTTTAAGGTGATATACATGGGCAGTACACAGATCTACTTCGACTCTTTGAGTATGGTGGATTCCCTCCTGAAGCTAACTATCTCTTTCTTGGGGACTATGTTGACAGAGGCAAACAGTCGTTAGAAACGATATGTTTGTTACTAGCCTACAAAGTGAAATACCCGGAAAACTTTTTTCTGCTTCGAGGCAACCATGAATGTGCCAGTATTAATCGTATATATGGATTTTATGACGAATGTAAGTGACTTGTTGTTAATAGTGTGTGCCAGAAAGATCTGCCATAATTTTCCTGGCATCCCCATTGTGACCGCCACTGGAGAGTACCAGAAGAAAACCTGCAGTGTTTTGTAGAGACTATTCTCACAATTCCAGTTACTGGATGTCTTGTGCAGGCAGTTCTGTAACTTTACTTTTTTGACCACTTGCATGAAAATCAGTTGCCCTGAATAAAATTTACTTGCCATCACACATGCAATGACCACTGGGGTACCTAGGTGGGGGGGGGGGTAAATTAAGGGGACAGTAGAGGGTATAAATTAAGGGGAATTACTGCCTCAGATCTAGCTTTGGCCCACAAAAAATATAATTTGTATCAAGTACATGCACTATAAAAAAAATTATATCCGACAATGAAAACATAAACTTAAAGATGCCCAGCTTTTTGTGGCAAGGCAACTTGCTCAATTGGGCAAGCAAGATGAAACGTTTACTTGCCCGTCATGATATTCATTTGCCCCGTGGAAGCGGGCGAGTGTTAAGTTACACCTTCATGTGTAGGAATGATACCACTGGGCCACTAACGTCAAAGGCACATGCCACCAGCATCTCCGATATCTAAATGTACATCTGATTATTTATGTTCATTTCACGTTCTAGGCAAGAGAAGATACAATATTAAACTATGGAAGACTTTCACAGATTGCTTCAACTGTCTTCCAATTGCAGCAATTGTTGATGAGAAAATATTTTGCTGTCATGGAGGTGAGTGCATTTGGAAGTCCTACATATAGGATGACAGTCGCTTAAAGCACGGTTAGCTTAAAGTAACTTACTTTATGTTATTATATACCAAACAGAGGACAATATAGTTAATATGCTTTTAAATTTTAAGAAAAATTATATCCTTTGCGGGATGTATGATCAATCCATTCTTTAAAAAAACTGATTGCTATATGTGTCTGGACAAAGGGGAGCATGTAAAATATATTCACATATTGTTAGCTTTTGGAGTTGTCCCTTTTCAAATATTTCTATTTAAGGTGGCTCGATATATTAATCCTCTCTAAGAGCTAGGCTCGTCAAGAGAGATGTCAACGTATTAAACGCACAAATTGAGTACATCATGTTTAAATAAAGAATTAGAAGCAAATAGAAAAAGGAAATATGGGTAGTTAAGCTTATCAAAATAAACCCCAAAATCTGAAGATAAGATTCTAATATTCAGTTAATTAAACAAGTAAATCATCAAGATTTCATTTTCTTCATAACCGATTATTTCTAAACCATGTAGAATCATGATCTTCGGATAAGCTTAACCATGAAGCAACTTAGCAGCATATTGAGGACATGCAGTGCAAAAAATATGTTTAATCAGGGTTCGTAGCGGTCTTTGAAATCCTTGAAAGTCTTTAAATTTGAATGCAGGTCTTTAAGGTCTTTGAAAAGTCTTTGAATTATGTGAAAAAAGTCTTTAAATTCTTTAGTGAGTATGAGATTATACGATTTCCTAGCTAATAAAATAGATTGATTGAAGCAAGATTTTCGCAAATATCGACGAAAAGGCGTATTTTAGGATGGGATTTGACGGGACTAATATTGGGTAAAGATGGTGCTTACACTTCGCAATTTTTCGACAGCTGATTGCTCTCAAAGGTCTTTGAAAAGTCTTTGAAAATAGGCAGAAAAAATCTTTGAATTTTTTTGGTCTTGGAGACTACGAACCCTGTTAATTGTAGAGTTTTAATTGTTTCCATGCACTATTCCCCATGACTTGTATCTCGCGTCATTGTGCGCGTTTCATATCGTGTTGCATGTCCGTGCTGACGTCTATCTGATATATTCGGCACTTAAACTTGCTGTCCGTTGTGTGGAGGTGTCTCTTGTACAGAACGTTCGTTAATACAGGTTCCATAATCTTGTACCATTCAGGCCTCTCACCAGACTTGCAATCAATGGAACAGATCCGGCGAATCATGAGACCAACAGATGTGCCTGATACAGGCTTGCTGTGTGATTTATTATGGTCAGACCCAGATAAAGACACAAATGGCTGGGGTGAGAATGATCGTGGTGTTTCGTTCACGTTTGGCTCTGATATGGTCAGCAAGTTTCTCAACAGACACGATCTGGATCTAATATGCAGAGCACACCAGGTGATTACCGCATAATGACACTCATTACAGTGTATGCATTATCTGAAGATAACACACTCACCCGTTAAGACAAACGTTCAAATTCCCTTGGAGAAATCCCATTGACGTCATCTACCAGAAAGAAACTTGGTATTAATGATTAACTGGGATCGGGTTTTAGGTTTAATGTTTTCACACAAGTGTAGATGTTCCATGTTATTCATATTGTTATAATCGAGTCCCTTATTTTAGGTGTGATATTTCACCTGCCATGATAGTGATATGTCCTCCATGACATTTACCGTATTACAGTACGCCACTCTGTTTTTGGGCAGGATGGAAAGTCATAGAATATATCGTATCTGCCAATGTCTGCCCTTAGAACATGTATTCTAAAGGTTTTTAAACCAGTCTCACTTGTCAGCGTGAGGTGGTTCTTGTATTTTAAGTGCTTAAAGGACATTGGCAATAAATGAGTTTAGAAAGAACTCTTAAAGCTATATATTAAACTCTATTACAAATTGTTTATATCTTGTTTAGTTTTCAAAAATTTTCGACTGAAAAAAGTGAGCTCTTCGCCGTCTTGGATTATGTGGTATGAATGTTACGTCAAGAGAGGGGTCTTTTTTATCTGGAGAGTATAAGCGATCAACATGGGTCCAAATCTTCGTTTCTGGTTGCGATATGAAATTTAGAAATGATTAAAAGTCCTCAAAACCATAGTGAACGAGATCAAGAATTAGTCCAAGATGGCGGACAGCTCATTAATTTCGGTCTAAATATTTCGAGAACTAAGCAAGATCTGACAAATCCGTATAATCGAGTTTAATATATAATTTTAAGAGTTCAAACTAATTTTTTATTGCCAGCTCACTGGTTCTTTTATGCGTGTTTTTACTATACAAATCCACTCATACAAATATAGACCCGACAAAGGTCGCGAGTTCGATTCCCACCGTGGCCAAGCAAACGTTCCGAAATATCATCAACTCGAACCGACTTGACCACGTAGCTCAGTTGGCAGAGCATTGGACTAGTATCCCAAAGGTCGCGGCTTCCATTCCCATGCACCATGACCAAGCAAACTTTTCAACTTGCACGGTGTGGATGCATACTCAGAGTAACATCACAAACATATTCGATTCACCTGAGTACATAACACACACACAAAAATAAGAACTACAGTTAGTAAAAACCAGGTAAAACGTGTACGGCAATTATAGGGCGTGCTGTTCATACTTTTAATGTTTTTAGGTCGTTGAAGACGGTTACGAGTTCTTTGCAAAACGACAATTGGTAACATTATTTTCAGCGCCGAATTACTGTGGGGAATTTGACAATGCTGGTGGCATGATGAGCGTTGATGAAACGCTGATGTGTTCTTTTCAGGTAAGATTTTTAGAAACATTAGTTTTCTCTGTACTAAGCCCCGGTCGAACGCGAAGATGAGAGTTGGTAAGCGAGAGTTCGCACAAGCAACTCTCGTAAACCGGTCGAACCCCGAACGAATTAAGATGAGAGTTATTGAGAGTTGAGACTGCATGGATGTTGAAGTCGACACAGCAGCGGCCAAGAGATACCCGAAGATGCGAGACAAAGAATTTTTCGTTGTTTTCTGCAGTGTCACAATAATATGAAACTATAGTTTTCATATCACTGACTGGATTTTACCGCGCGTTTATCAAAATTTCATGAGAGTGCAATCCATGCATAAGAGTCGAACACTGGAGAGTTGACGAGAATTGCAATTCCACCATCTCTCATCTTTTGATCACGGCTTTATGTTCACATGTGTAATGTTTTTTTCATAATAATTCTGGTGTAAGCATTATGTGAATGCATTTGGTTAATTCTAGAGTTTTGTTTGTTACCGAATATTATTTCTATTTAATTTAAAACCGAATAAAGAAGCATATTCGACCTTTGATATAAAAAGGCGATTGCGGCTTACAGATGGAAACTTTGCTAAATAGATATACGTGGTGTTTACACAAAACAAACATACGTACTACTATATTTCACCATTCAAACATACAAGAAACATGTAGATGCTCGACGACAAATGGTTACAATTTTCCTCATTCCAGGCTAATTGTGGTTTCATTATTTGCGTTAGGCCCTGTTCACATGAACTCGGGACAGCGTTATGTTTCAGGGCAAGCAATTGTCGCGGGAAAAAAATTGTCTTGGCCTCTTAAGGCCATGTTACACGGTGCAATTTTTCTTGCAACTTGCAATGCAATTCTACTCTTGAGAGATCTTAATTAGTGAAATCTGTGAAGAATTTTCGATATATTGAGAAAACATCAGCGGAGTGTAATGAAGACTCGTATTTGGTAATTTTACATCTCTCAAGAGTAGAATTGCATTGCAAGTTCAAGAAAAATTGCACCGTGTAACATGACCTTTAGTAAAAGAATAGTGCTGTTCACATGATATTTTACTTGTCCCGGGGCGAGAATTGGCTCCGGGTGACTCGCCTCTGTATACAGGGACACTCGCCAGCTGGGACAACTTTTCCTCATGTGAACACTTTGCTCCGGGGCAACTTTGTCCCGGGATAATTGAATGTTTGGTGAAACGATCTAAATCGTTATTTAATTGGAGATATCATTGGAAATCTAATAAAATTGTCGCTGATATCATGTTTGAAACCAAGAAAATGCAGTATGCTACTCAGAAAAATTTGATCTGAACTACCAGAAACAATGAATTGAGCACATTCTACTACGGCTAATAATCAACTTTTGCACAAGTGAATATAACAAATTTGACGTATTAAGTGCTGTTTTTAAACGAGCTGGAGTGTTTTCCTAAGTTTAACAATTATTCGCCTTAGGCTCGGTGATTATCAGAGAATATTCACCTCGACTTCGTCTCGGAATATTCCCCGATAATCGTCGCCCTTCGGCGAATAATTGTTAAATGTTCTATTTGTAAATATCATAACATATTAAAATACGACTTGCGTTTATCAGAATTAGGGGTGCACCGGAACCAGTTTTTTAAGTTCCAGCCGGAACTGGAAAAAAGTTCCGGCCGGAACCGGAACTAATTTATTAAGCCATATATGGTCATATGTTACTTTGTCCGCTGCCAGACAGGCAGACACTTCAAGTCATCAAGGAGAGAGCTCGCAAATGTTAGAATAAAAAGATTAAGACAAGCGTTAAACGTCATAATGAAGTGTTAATAGTGTACATTTCCCTTGCGTAGTCCAAATTTCTTCCTACTGTGACCTTTTGTTAGACACAAAAACGTTTGATATTCTATCTCTCTGAAAACGACAGAGTTCCGGTTCCGGCCATGCTTTTTTTACTAGTTCCGGCCGGAACCGGAACTCTAAAAAATCGGGGTCCCGGCCGGAACCGGAACTCTAAAAAATCGGGGTCCCGGCCGGAACCGAGTTCCGGTGCACCCCTAATCAGAATGTTTTTTTATTTAGCAATATTTCACCGTTTCACATTGGCGAGAATATTTTATGATTCACGCGTAATGTATTTATAAGCACAGGGCTCAAAATAACGGCCGGTAACGGAAAGTGATCTTGACCGGTCACTTTTTTTCCTCACCGGTCATTTTGACCGGTCACATTTTCATGCCTTCCAATGTGATTGCTGAACTCTTGAATTGAAACATAAAACTATGATGTATCGAAACAAGTTTCTAGTAGTTTGTTTCATTGTTAGTGTATCAATTACCGGATGTCAATGCCTATCTTCTTCTCCCACTGAAAACCCGAGCAGTTTTCGCGCATGCTCAGTCAATTTTACCTCCTGTTGTCATTCGTAATTTGCAACATTTGCACAAGCGTACAAACTGTACGATTGCGGGAGGGGTTAAGGGGCGGACCATTTGACTTTTGAAGGGGGGGGGGGGTTGGAAGATTCAGACCGTGTAAGACTTTTTTCTGCCCAGGCGAACAAGACAGATATTTTTTTCCTGTAAAAGTGCAGTGTAAGATATTTTTTTCTAATGTATTTCGCGGCAGGATTTTTTTCCCCTCTCATAATAACGGCTTGCAGTAACTTAAGGTTTTCATATTGCTATCGTCAGAGACGTAGCTGGGTTTTTCAGTCAAGAGGCCGAGAAAATCCCAAGAGGGGCCGAGAAAATCCCAAGAGGCGCCAAGGAATTTTCACTGTTCTTTATTTTTTATGGTTATGTCTTACTGTTCCCCACACTAAAGCGTGCAGGTTTGCTTACAAAAAAGTGTATAACTGCACCAAGACCTAAATCATGCAGGGATAGAGTAGAGTATAGGAGGAGTATATGAACCTTGGGGGTTTAAAAATTTGAACCTCTGAAATGCTATTTCCTGCGTTTTGAGCCATGGATTCGTCCAACAACTTTATTAATACAAATAAACTTATTTATTTTGAATTTTATTTAGGTTTCGCTGGCGAATGCGCCCCAACCTTGTCAATAACATTGTATTTGGTACGCCGTTTGAATCACTGCCGTTCTTGTGTCGCATCTAATACAATTAAGTTCGGCACATTTACGGCGTCTGAAACGGCCCTAAGAGTTACATGTAGGATTTTTTTGAGCGCTCTCTTTCGCAGGATATTTTTTTTCTCGATTGTATGCTGCATGATTTTTTCCCCTTCTCCGTGGGTTGCAGGAAATTTTTTTCTAAGTCCTCCAACCCCCTCAAAAGTCAAATGGTCCGCCCCTCAGACTAATATGTTTCCTTTTAAAATGTTGATTAGACTCATCATCATGATTCCTGGGATTCTACATTTTCGTAGTGTACGCTCCGCTGGTGTCGAAAAAAGATTGCACTCTTTTCGCTGGTGAAAATGTTTAGAATTATCAACCTCGTACCCAGGCTCTTTCCACTGCAGTGGAAAGAGCCTGGGTACGAGGTTGGAGAATTATGGGGACATTCATAACTCATCTCGTTCACATGTATCAGAAGAAGAAAATCGCAGTACAAATTGCAAGTGTAAATGGGACTTAATATTTCCTTTTTTCCTCAGATTTTAAAGCCATCAGAGAAGAAAGCGAAATACCAATATGGTGGTCTCAATTCTGGTCGGCCTGTTACACCTCCGAGAGGTGGAGCTCCACAGCAAAACAAGAAGGGCAAAAAGTAGATGGTGCTTCGAGTCGGAACTTTGCTGTCTACAGCATTCTTGTACCATAACAAACTTGTCTAGCTCAGACCTCTTCAACAAAACAAGAAACATATGATAAATTAGTTTGTAAAATAACAGGGGAATGCATTCGTACTCCAGGGTATATACACCTTCCAGATTTTAATCTAATTTGCATGTTTTGAATACTGACAATCATGTTATATTTGTGTCCAGACTGTCCAGTGTATGTAAATCTCAATTTTTGATTATAAATTAGATATATATATATATCCTTTATTAATAGCGTGCTATTTTGTTTGCATTCATAACTTGTCAGTTTATTTTACTGTAACATATTTACCGATTTAAACAGGAAAGTGAGAACGCCCTTCGTTTAATTGCAACATATTCATTGGAAGGGAAATATATAAATATTATAATACCGCATGGCGGCCCTTGTCCCGTGCTGCTCTTGATTCTTACGTGCCAACATTCCGCAATGAGAAAAAAAATATGTCGGGGAATGGTCCAAGTCGACCAACACTCGCAAGAAACGATTTCGCGAGCTACAAGGCAACATCAAGAGTACGATTAGATAAAAGAACACGAATATATTTTTCCAGGTTTGGCAAAAGAATTCTGTTTCAGAATTGAACGTTAAAATGCTTCTTCAAAAACTTGTTATCAGGATGTGTTCCCACTGCTTGGACTCAACAGTCAACATTGTTATTCTGCCATTTAACAATTTGTGTGACAGGATGAAATTACAACATTGTTGCAAGTCTACTGCGAATAGCCTCCTTCGCATGCAGTTCTGCAACGTTAAGTTATGTTCTCAAAAAATCTAAATTCATATAATAATAAGGAAGCTTATCCAGTGAAGTGAATATAACTGGAACGTTACCTCCAAAGTTTAGTTACCTGCGTTAGTAATAACAAAGTACAATGATAAACTTGGATTCTCAACATTGTTATTCTGCCATTTAACAACTTTTGTGACAGGATGAAATTACAACATTGTTGCAACGTTAAGTTATGTCAACACCCGAACCAATCTCGTACCCAGAGCAATGCCTGTGCGCGGGCTAGGAAGGCATTGGCTCTGGGGAAATAGAATTTTTCCTGTGATTGGTTTAACGTTTATCAATAGTGCATGCCGACAAAGAAGCGGAACCCCCAAATTTAGGGGTTCCGGTTGTCTATTTCACGAGAGCCAATGCCTTCCTAGCCCGCGCACAGGCATTGCTCTGGGTACGAGATTGCACCCGAACTATAGCTAACAAGTACGACCCAATCTCGTTCCCAGAGTATGCCTGTTCGCGGGTTAGGTTGTGGCATGACTCTGGGGAAATCGAATCGAAATCGTTATTTGATTGGCTGCCGTGAACATCAATGCTGCCGACACAATTAATGCGTGTTTTTTGCGAGAATTACGCGTGAAAATACGCGAAGAGAGAATTATCAATGTTTATCAAATTTGGAATGCTAAATCAAACAATATAAATCGAAGGATATAATATTAAACGTATGAAAAAGTATTGGAACGTTGGGTATATACTTACAAAATGGCATGGTATTTATGAATGACTTTTTATCGATCTACAGTATGAGTATATTCATTATAACCATGAAAGAATTGGCTAAATGTATTCATCGCACACGTTGTCGTTGTTTTGTTAAATTGACATATTGTTGCCAGGACTTTGGAGTGACAGCTTTTGCTTGTGTTAAAAACTTCAAGCTTTAACAATACACTACATTATGGTCAACACTCAACATGTTGTAGTCTGTGGTTTTTGTGCTTTTGTAAATGGAGTTATCTATATAAATTTAAAATGCCAGGTGTTTTTGTAGCATCTGTATAAATTGTAGAATAATTCATTTAAGAAGTTCCTCAGATTGTAAAACATTTGGTTATAGACTTGCTTTGTAAATTATTGCCACTTGACAGCATGATGGGCTATTCCATTTAATATCTTTACACCCCCTGTCAAGGATACATGTTTTTCATGGTTATACCCTTGAAGAATTCCAAACTCAAAACCTTTTACCCCTGAAGAATTCCAAGCTCAAAACCCTTTACCCCTGAAGAATTCCAAGCTCAAAACCCTTTACCCCAGATGAATTCCAAACTCGAAACACTTTACCCCTGAAGAATTCCAAGCTCAAAACACTTTACCGCTGAAGAATTCCAAGCTCAAAACCCTTTACCCCTGAAGAATTCCAGGGATCCTCGACAGGGGGGTACGGATATTAAATGGAATAGCCCGATGTAAGGCTATAACTAAGCCAAACCTGAAACAATTTTTGCATCAATTTGTGTCTGGATAAAAAATAAGTAGTGAATTTAAATACAGATGTTTCCTTGTCTGTTGCTATGTGAAACAATGTTGTTTATAGCAATAAGAGTTATTGTTGATCAATAACAATGCTCATTTGCTAAAAATATACAAGTATTGATTCCATTTCCAAACTATTATACTATGTGAATATATTGGCAATTAATCCAATTATATATAAATAACAACTTTAATTTCTGTATCAAGCCTCCTGGGTATTATTGTTTCCTAAGCATCATTGAGGGGGCACTTGTTCTAAATATATGCAATAAGTCTGGTTACCATTAATTAAAAAATGTCCATATTCAGAGTTACAGTTGTACTGTTTTTATTAAAATACTACAGAAATGCAATATATTTCATGATTTTAAGAATTAATTGAATGGGGACTGCATGGTTAAAAGAGGAAGGGGGCTTATTTATTTTTGTATCCAAATGAGGGGGGGGGGTATTTATTTTTGTATCCAAATGAGGGGGGGAGGTTATTGGAGAGGGGCTTGAAGAGAAGGGGGCTAAATATAGAAATTACAGTACCTGCATTCCTTCCTCTCCCTTCCCAAACATCTGCAGGAGAGGGGGCAACTGCAGGGGTTAAAGCATGGATTGCAAGGTTGATGTATAATTTGCATGTTATGTACCTGGTAGTATGGAGTAATGAGCTAGTAAATATATCCTTGCCTATAATTGGTTGCTGATTAAATGTTCAAAGATACACAGTGTGAAGCATGAAAAACAAATGGAAGATACCCACTGCAACAAATTTTCAACAAATATATATGGATTTGTTCACTTCATTTACTTTCAACACAAGTAATTATAGTAATTATAATTACAAACACAATGTACTGTATTTAAATTTTAAAGACTTTATATGTGCTCCATGTATATATGTTAATGTAATATAATAAAAAAATGTGTTTATTGCTAAAATATGTGATAAATAATAC